ACACACACACACACACACACACACACACACACACACACACACACACAGACTGAAGGAATTCCATCACACATTCATCTAATAAATCTTGTTTATCTCATTAAGATAATGGATTGAAAAACTCAGGGTGTTCCCCGAGTTCAAGACTTCTGCATTACTGCTGGAGGATGTTTCAGTACGTCCTCCTTCATCCTGCTTGATTCATTTCTTCCTCCCATCTCTCTCTTTGACCCTGTTAGACTCTATTGCTATGTGCATTCTGGGTAAATAGAAAAACAAGTTTAGGAATCGAGACCTAAATGCACTAAAAGAAACCCTGGGTTGATCAGAGGCGCGTTTGGTTACAATAACAATAATTCAGTGAGTTCAATGCAAACATACGAGCAATCAACCAGACAGTGCAGGCCAATCTAATAGGTTAGTTGCACACCTCTAATCATGACATAAATATCAACCTTAAAGATTACAGAACAAAACAATTTTTTTCAAACACCAGACAAATATATTCAGTAGTATCTATGCTTTTGGAGATTTCACTTTCTATTGTTACTCTATTCTCCATTGTGTCCAATCCTCTTTTCATCCCGTCTTAAATCCCACCCTGGTTAATAGTGTGTGATTGTTGTTTAGCTTTACTCAGTGTCACTGGCCTGCTCCAAGAGAGCAAGAGTCTCTCCTAAGAGGCTTACCCTAGGCTGCTAATAGACTTGAAAAGAGACGCACACAAAGAGCGAAGGAAGAGGAGAGGTCAAGTCTGTGAGTGCACAAGTGTCTGGGTTATTTTACTGGATTTTGCCGGAAAACTCTGCTTCATCATTCCACCGATCCATCCATCTGTGCAGCTGTCCAGCTGGCGCTGTGATGTAACTCTGAGGAGGGGTCACGGCTGACAAATTAATCAACGGAGAAAGCATGAGAGCAGAGGAGGCAGAGAACTTCCCAAGCAGCTGCAGGATTATTGAGCCCAGAGCTACGCATCTGCAGTAGCAATGTACTGCAGGGCTGCTGTCACGGGTTAGCTGGCTTCACGAGACCCTCGTAGCGAAAGGTTGAGAGATCCACACCTGTTGTGAAGAATTGGACTGAGAGTCTGTAGGTGTTTAGATATCCCTGCCTGTAGTAGGGCTGACACCTACCGGGTCAGTGCGAGGGCTACATGTGAAGATGGACCATCGTAACTGTTCTTCCTCAATCAATGTAACGTATCTTCACTTCACTCTAATTACAAGTCATTCTCTGACTCACCTGCTGCGGGGTTCACTTAGGGAATTGGCATGAGTCTTCTAATCACGGTAGAGATCAGCTGAGGTTAAATCATCATCCGTAATGAATGACCAGCGGGCCGTTTTCTGTGTTTTTGATGTGTGCTGTAAGTAAAACAACATACAGTTTGGTGCATTCTTTTGTTAGCTCTGTGTTTTTGCATACACGGTTTTTGATTGAGTTTTTAAATCAAACAAAAAGGTGAGTTTACATATTATCTATCAACCTGTTTCCAAAGCTTGAGGTTAAGTTGGCACACATACGTATCAGTGTTAGAGGTGCTTTCCAAATTATTTTGGAACGAGATGTGTGTCGCATCCTTCTGAAACACTGTGATGCAGAGTCTGATTCATGGTTTCACTGAACTGTAGAGATCAGCAAGGCCGGCTGACGTAATTAGGAAGAATTATTCCAGGGCCAGAGATCATGACTTTAACATTCATGATATCTGCCTTCTAACACTCCATTCCCTGGAGCAGCTAACCAAATACTTCTTCTCTGCACTTTCCAGCCTGACGATAGTTAAACACGAAAGTCCACTAGAAATCCACTAAAGAACGCTAACATGGAAACATGTCACTCTGTTTTAAAAGGGACACAAAAGAGCCAGATCAAATGATAGCTCGACTCATTTGCTTCTTAGACTCTCACTTTTTGTTTGTCTTGCCTTGCAAATTGGTAGATTTGATACATCTAGCCCAATATATGAATTAATTAGTTTTAATTGAATTAATGTTTTAGTTAAACATTTTCAAATATTTTAATATTCAGGTTTTCTTTTCAGCTAAGATTGTATAATGTGTCGGGAAAATCCAAAGTATAGTTAGGACCCTTACCCTTAGCTAGAGTGCTGCTAACTGAAGCTGTTTCTCAGCTTGAATCTGTCCACAGCTAAGTCCATTTTTCTGTTTTCACAGGAACAGGACGTTGTTAGCTGTGTGACCTCCTATTGTTTAGCCACCACAGCAAGCAGGCGAGCAAGCTAACATGAAATAGTTCAGCCCAAGTCATGCCTGAATACAGACAGAGCAGCTAATCCCATTAAGCAGATGACTAATCTCTAAGGAGCTACACACACACACACACACACACACACACACACACACATTCAGAGATACCAACCTATACACACACACATACAAACAACCAGGCAGTCAACTGAGTTCAGCTCAGTTCACTTTAGTCTTATTATAGATTTTTCAGGGGGGAAATTAAAAAGCTTCGACTCACCATGGCTTTGTGAACCCGTGGCCTTTGACCTGTCACGATAGTTTAGAGAGAAGATCAGGTCCGTTCTACATGTGTCTTGTGGGTCAAACAGATAAAAATGTCCCTCTTGTAATTCTCTGAGCTTTAGTATAAATGCAACAGTTGCGGTAGAAATGATGATTTGTTGAGATTGACAGCGGCGAAGCTGTTTAATATTTGGCCCTAGTTAATTGCGGTCACCTTGTTTTAACAATCGGTGTGTTTACATCCATTCAAAAATTGGACATTATATGGCTATAGCCCAACTCTTGTTATTTATCAATAACTATTCAAGTAATCCATGTTTTTTAAATAATGACTACAGTAATTCATATTAAATATACATTTAATACATGTGTTAAGCCAGTCTACTTCCAGATCCATAGACTGCCATTTGTTACTGCCGTCTTACAGCTCATATAGACCTTCTTGAAGAACACAAGATGCTATAAGCCTCTTCATTTCGTTCTCAATGTCGGCAAAAATGGTAAAACTAAAAATTCAAAGTTTATATTCTACATGATTGACATAAAAATAATATTTACAGC